TCTCAATACACTATGTTTAAAGTTTCAGTGCTTTAAGTCAACAAATTAATCATTGCAGCCTTCTTCATTTTGGAGGATTGTTTTGAAATTAAGAGCTAATGTTATTTTAACCTTGTTATTGTTTGGATGTGTGGGGAAAGAGCATAATAGCATTGATCTTTCAAGTTTTAAAAAGTGCAAACTGTCTCAGATAACATTTGAAACATTTTTCTTAGGATATCTGCCCTCAAAGATCTTATGTTATAAAAATGTGTGGGTAGAGCCTTTTTTTGTTTGTTCTTTCTTTCTTTTTTTTAGGTGTCATTGAAACAAGGCAACACACAAACTATTGCAGTAGATTAGTTACGCCACGGATCATTTATTACAGCCCTGATATGGTGTTAGAAGTTGGTGTGGGTAGACTACTTGTAGTCCAAAAGCACAGTCAGCGGCCTGGGGTGAAACTGTTAAAAGTATGCTGTTTAATCTCTGCAGGCAGCAATTCTGATGCATGCATCATTGTTTGAGAAGCACACGTGCTGTTTGATGTGCTCTGATACTCACCCGAGCAATACAGTGCTCTCGAGTTCTTAGCTTGGGGTCTTGGTCTTGCATGTGGGTGAGAACTAAAAGGCTGAGACAAAAAATTGAGTGAAGAGTGATGCTACTAAGCTAGGGGAACTAATAAAACATTGTGGGAAGGATGATGACTCCACCTGTGATTTTAGATAATTGCCAATCCTTTGTAATTCACTTCATACAAGGCTTTTGAATCATTGGTGATTCAAAAAGCATACAAAGCTTTTTATAAGCATTCAAAATTGTGCTTATTGACATCTTTTGTCATCTGCATGCAGCAAAGAAATACCAGCTGTCTTTCAGGTGCACCCTTTATAGCTATGAGCTTTTCCAACCTCAAAATGAGGCTTTGTTGTCACAGCCTGCTGTTACAGAAGTTTTATTTCAAATCTATCTGCCATATTGAATAGCTTCCAGAGGAGAGGGAGCCTTCAGCTTATAAACAAGATATGCCTCAGTTTCACTTTCTATTCTTGGTGGCAATATGCATTTTTTCCACAAGAGTCATAGAAGAGAACTTTGACTGGTAACATGCAGTCCTCGCTCACAGCTTTGTTAACTGCTGAAACCTACGTTGTGATGAATGAAATCAGATGGTTGAAGTTGGTGCAGCTGAGAAGTAAGCTGGAAAAAGAATAACTTTGTTTTAGCCACCTCAGATGATGGCATGCCCCCACTTCTGCTCAGATGTGCAGAAGTGACAAAATGCATAACTAGAAGCGGGCTGGATCTAGAGTGGTTTATGCTTCTGCACATCTTTTCTCACTCCAAACTGCCACGACTGCAAACATTAGGTCATTGAATTCAAAGTACAGCTAACTAGCTGTTGTTCTCCACTTCCCTATCCGATCAGAATAAATAAGTAGGGAAGTGTCTGGTATTTCTTAGAGATAATATGCTAACCTATATTAAAAAAAAAATAACTTTGATTCAGTGTTTGAGACAATAGAGGCATCAAGGTTCTTGTGATTTAACTGTGCCTATTTTTTGGGGTAGTTTTCAGAAGATGATATGTAACTAGTTAACTTGTAGATTAAATACTTTTTTTTTTCTTTCCTTCTGGGTAAGGAAGTTACACTTAGTTGTATGTATAAAATGTACTAAAGCTTCAGAAAGCTACTGCTATGAAATATCCCTCTTACTTAGATTCAGGGAGAAAAAACAAACAAACAAACAAAAAAAAAAAACATACTTTGTCTTAAGACTAAGCCTGACTTTGTTATTAACTTCAAGACATTTCTTGTCCCCATTACTCATATTTGAAGGGTGTTTCAGAGCATCAATGCATGATTAGAAATTTCTAGTTAGAATCCCAGTGGCAGTTTATGGCCATTTTGTGCACACCAATATTGTCTTCTAGCCTAAACAGAAAAGACTTCTGCCCAAAAACTTTTCTAGAGGATGATTCTATCCACACAGTTTTTCCTGTGCTAGACAGAACTAGCAAAGCTCTAGACTCCTTGTACAAGAGAGTGAGGGTCTCTATTTACTTAGTTGTGTTGTTATTTCTTATCCATACCTGTTTCATTTTTTAACATGTGAGACTATACATGGTACTTCAGATGAAGTCTGAACAGCACTTTGTACCACAATCCCTCTGATTCTGTATCCCACGCACCTCTGTATTTGTAAGCAGTCCCTGCTGGAACTGTTTTGCCTGATACACCGTAGGATTTCTTTCACCTTTTTGACAACCTTATTGTATCTGTACAACAACCATGGTTACAGAAATAAAATAATGCTCTCTTAGGGTGCAATTATAAAAATAGATGTATAGGAATTCAAAGTTGGCTTTTAGTTTCTGTGTTTCACATGCTAATATGTGTTCTACACATGCAGCACTAGTTGATACACTGCTGGGCTTGTCTATGGAAAAAAAAAAAAAAAAAACTGGGAATTATGCAGAACCCTCTAAGGACCTGGATTTTCTCAGCAGTCTGTGAACGGCTGGAAGGCTCATTAGGGGAGAAAAAAAGTGGGAGTTCTGCCACCGAGTCTTTCTCCCAGATCTCCGTGCTGACATGCAAAAGCATGTGGCCTGAATACTCAATGTAGAAATAGTGTCTAATTCTTGCAATGAAACAGGCTAAGAAATTCAAAACTTACTAAAGCACTTATACAAGACTATGGGTGCTTTAATACATTTGGTATATATTTCTATGTACTTTTGAAAATAAACATAATTCATTGCTCTCAGTATCAATGTTAGCTTGTGTGTTTGCAGGCCCTGTGGGTTTCCACCAAGGACACAAAAAAATAATCTGATGCCAGATGATATCAGTAATCCACTCCCCTATAATCAGTGGTATTCAAGCAGCAGAGGCTTCCAAAAAAAAGGTAAATGTATTTCTAATATTCCATTAAAAATGCACAGTGTTGTACATAATAAGATTTGTAAGAAAAAAAAAACACCCTCCTGACAATTTAGTTTATCCCCTACAAGAGTAAGATTTAATTACTCTTATCTTTAGTATCATAATTTGCAATGTGCAGTAACTGCAGATATTATTATCAGCCATAAAATTATTCAGCCAAAAAACTTAGGTGAGGTGCCTAAAGTGCTGTTTTCCATATGTCTGTGGCAGTTAAAAATGCTTTGCTTTTAGTCTAAATTCACTGGACATAAGTTTTATGGGAGTGAATTTGATGTTTTCCTGATAAGGGACATAAAGGTTACAATTAGTTTTTCAGAAAGGCTTACATAGTCTATGTCTTACATAGTCTATGTCAATGGAAACCTTTTATCGTATTTTTGAAAAGTTTGTACTGCTTTTACTCACCTTGTGTCCAGATGGAAACATCTTTTGCTCACATAAAACTGTAATTGACTTCAGAGTTTCATAAAACAGGGTCAAAGATATAATCTCTCTCCACAGGTACTTCTGTGGCTGTTTCAGCTGGTTCTTGAACTTTGAGCTTAAGCTTCTCTATCGTGCAGCTTTTCTATTATTATTATTTTTTAATTTTAAGATTATTTCTTGATACAGTATTAAAAAAAGAAAAGAAAAAAATATTAGTTTTCTAACATTTCTGCGACTTTCAGTAACTGCACCAAAAATGTACTTTGTTTTTGTTTTGCTCTGTGATCCTGCCCTTATTAATTTCAGACTTTGCCAGACACTTTTGCCAGATACAACCTCCTATTTGTGAGCTTTTCTTTGCAAAAGAAACCTTCCTATTCTTATGAAAACGTCTAGTGAATTCTTATGATCAGATTTGGACAGCTAGCTGAGGAAAGAATGCTGAGAAACACCACAGATGTTCTTTTCTGGGAGAAAAGTAAAGTTAAAATACATCTAGTGAATAGAAACACAGTATTTCTGGAAACAATTAGATTTTGCTTTATAAAAAAGTAAGCAAAGGAGATATTACTGTAGGAAAAACTATTCTGCCAGAAGTTTGGTTTCTGGCAGAAACTTTCATGTACACATGATTCAGAAGAACTTTTCCTTAAATACTATAAAAGGTATGGTGGATGAAAAGTAAATCTCTGACTTTCAGAAAGTGCACTAAAATAAGTTGTGACCTCAGACCTCAAATTCATCAGTGTTTTAAAGGTGATTGTTTTTAATGGTTCTGAAGGTTCAGATGCCTGGGTTTATTCTACTTCTCTCATCACGGGTCCATATGTGGTACAGGCTTTAAGGTAGGAGCTGGCTGGGGCAGAGCTGTTCTAGAGACACTTAAGGATTGCACAGAAATTGACCTTGAGTCAATGACTACGTAACTAAACTGAGCAAAGCAAGACAATCATTTACTGAACTAGAACTGACCGTCACAGAACAGCTGTCTCATAAGTTCCGCTTGTCCACTGCTAAGGATCAATAAAATAACATTGCAGGTGTTCTGATATATAATTCTGGGCTATTAATCCATGCAATTGTAGGACTGATCAACCTACCTTTCAAACATTCCTTCAGTATTTCTGCTTGTGTATACTTGTGTTTTTCTTTAGACTGAAGCTTTCTGTTCCCACAGATAGGAGGGAAACAAATGCTTATAACCAGGGACTTCAGTATTCATGGTAGAATAATATTTTAGAAATGTTTTTGTAATTTACTTATTGTTAAAATAACTCAAAGTATTATGTTTGATTAAATGATCTATAATGACATAGTAACAGCTTTGCACTGTTTCCTTTCCAATGCAGGTAGTTCATGTTGTTGCCAGAAAGATTATTTCTCATAAAATATAGGCAGGATGATACTTAGCAGGAAAATTTTTTAGAATGCAAACTACTTCAAGAGAAACTCCCCAAATCTCTCATGTTTCCTACTTTTTTTTTTTTTTTTTTTTCCGTTATCATTTACTTGTAAAAGATGTCTTAAAAAGCTTCTGAATGGCTGCTTTTTTTACTGCAAGCATATTTATAATTCTGTAGACTAAATAAATACATAGTTAAAAAACATAAGACAGTGATTTATTATTATTATTATTTTATTACAGATGAGTGAAGTTGAATCAGAAACAATCATTTCCTTGAGAGGTACATCCTCCAAAATAATCTCACAATGCAAGGGGAGGGGGGGGGGGGAGCGGGGAGAGGACAAAATGAGTGATAATTAACAGAGCTTGCTGACATGCTGTTCTTTAAAACTTAAAGATGTGCATCAGTTGGAGACAGGATATCGAATATCAGTAGGCAAAGCAGCAGGAAACTTTTTCCACTGGATGAAAGGGATAAAAAGAAGAAAAACAAGTCTTGGCCTCTCATTGCACCAGCAGCTGACTAAGCTCCCGACATGCTCAAACCACAGCCAATTGTAATGAATACCAGGGAAAACAGTATCTTCTAAACAAAAATCGTTACAAACTTAGAAACTTTAAGTCGAGATAAAAAACGTAAGTCTCAGAATAACATCACAGCAGAAGATAGGTAGATCACAGAAATGAAACAGAATGTTGCAGCTGCAACCTGCTTGCACAAGATGCTCTGTGTTCTGGGTGAACTGAGGCCTGTACAGACAGGGGCTGGGGGGCCCGGTTGAGATAGAAATGCAAAATCCTGGCATGTGAAGGGAAACCAGAGGCACTGCTCCTCTCCAACAGTGCTTTGAAGAGAGGGGGGTGAAGCTGGAATGAATGCTCCTTCTTTTTCACATGTTAAAAGTTCTGTGGATTCAAACAGATCAGGAAAGTTGTTGCATCCCGAAGCATAAAGACTGCTGAGTTGAATTGGCTGTACAAGCCAAAATATTTTAAGGGGCAAGATGATGGGGGAAACAGGGAATTTAGGAAAGCTGATGATAATTAGGGATGTGTTTGTTTACCATGCAGTGAAGCTTCCGGCTCTCTTTCAAGGCAATTTGATAAAACTCATAATGCCACTTGAGCTGTGAGCTCCCAGTGGTATGGAATGTTCCTGTATGGCAACTTCTGTTCCTTCCTGATTTCCTCCCGCTTGCAGTCCGAGCTGGCAGCAGCCAGGCAAGCCATCCTCCTCCTCTGTTGGTGTGCTTGGGCTCCACAGCCTTACGGAGGGGTACACAGACCTTGGTAAAACTTGGCCCTGTGTGTTTTATTGTTTTTTACTTTTCCGATGTGAATATGTAGCTTTATTGTCCCTAAACATAAAACTTAATGTTCCAAGCTCTCCCTTAACAAAGGCGTAAAAGAAGCTGGCTAATTCAGTGATTTGCCATGCATAGCATCAGATGCAGATAGGAAATCTGTAAAAGATATTTACAAGCCAATGACTAAATACCAGGCTGTTCTGCGGTGCTCTTCTCTTATGCCTGTGGTACTTCTTTGGCAAGCCCTCTAAGAGGGTCTGTAGGAAAGTAGTCAAAGCACAGTCTGTAGGAAAAATAATGTAACAGATAATACAAAAATAAAATAAAATCTGCAGGACTTTCTAGTGAAAACAACAACCTACAAGTTGTAGGCTTCGGATGGAAATTGGAGTGCCCTTGTGAAAGTCAGATTTGCTTTCCCAGGGGCACGAATGGCCCTTACTGGTCCCCTCTCCTAGACACCATCCCCATTAGCCTCTGCCAACTTCTGGCTGGAGGTGATGGGATAGGCCCTGGGGGCCAGGCCCCACATTGCCCCCTGCCTCGTGGCCCCAGGCAGCCCTTGCTGCCGCCCCCCCCCCCCCCGGGTGGAATTTGCACCCTCACTGGTGGTGGGCTGAGAGCAGTGAGAGAGCAGAGCCTGGCTGCGAACTTTAATCCAAGCACATGTGACTGTACAGATGTAACCTGTTCCACTTCATTTGGCTCCCGGTGAGGTAAATGGTAGTTTTCCTGGTGGATGGGCACTGAAACAGGCTGTGCAAAGTTCTGTTCCTCCAGTGTAACTGATTTTAACCAGACTGTGCTAGTTAGCAATGCGCTGGCATGCAACAAAAGAAAAACACTACCAAAGAGGAGGCCAAAAGGAGACAAGAATCTAGGAAAAAACTGAGACAGTGGGGGAAAAACAAAACAAACAAAAAGAAGCATATAGATTATAGAACAAAAAGAAAAAGGAAAATGACTGTAGCACCCCAGATTGATTTGAGGTGGTTGTTTCTTGGATACAGGACTTCCAAGTCCATTAAGGATCTAGTCAAATATATACGACATACTTCTAGTCTACCAGAGTAAACTTGTAAGGGCAAAAGATCAAAATAAAGACAAAAGAGGCAAAGTTTGAGCAGGGGATACTAGATTATGCTACCTGATGTTAATCCAGATAAAGTGGAATTATGCACCTTTCAAAAGTGAAGGGACCTCTCCCTTCAACCCATTTGAAAAGTGGCAAAAAAAGACAATAAAAAAAAAAAGTTAAAAGTTCATAGGCAGCAAGAGAACAGATAAAAGCTTACTTCTCCTCTCCTTTCTTTCAGTGAAAAACAAATGATTACTTTTTATTAATCCGTTCAAGAATTTCCAGAATGATATGATGCAAAACTATCTTTGGGATTTAAAGTTCCAGTGAAATTCTGAAGCCTTTCCTCCTAAAGTCATTAAGAGAGGATAGACAAAGTCTGGTCACCTTAACCTTAATCCTGTAGGAAATACCCTATAAACCAGGTTGGAAGCGGGGCTTAGAGAAATTATACAAAGAGGGACACACAAACAAACAAACAACAGGATTGAGTCTGGTAGACAGATGCCTGGATGTGCAGGCTGCTGGAAATCTTAAAGAAAGGATGTGATCTTGTTGCCCCCAAGTCTTTCTAATTATTGTCCAACTTGATGCAAAGGGATTAGATACAATTGAGAAAGCAGCACTATTTCTGCATAACTTCTATGATTCTTCAGTCTTTGATTTCTTGAAACTACCAACAAGATCACTTAGAATAACATTTTTTGTGAGGAAAACACCTATGCCAGTTTAGTAATTTCTCCTCATTGATGTGGAATCGCAAAAACTGCCTATTATTTGCTTTCCCTTCTTTTCTACCTTTTTTTTTCCTTTCCTTCTTTATTCAAATTACATGTGAACTGGCAGTAATTTATATGTGATAACCATATTCTTGGTCTCTCAAGACTATTCTGTATGTATCTTTTAAATTTGTTTTAATTTAGTTCAGCTTACTCCTCCCCCCCTTTTTATACTATATAAATGATTAAAGATTTCACTAGAAAAAACAGAATAGCATTCTGATAATGCCTTAAAAATAAGAAAACAAGGTATTCTAGGCTTCTTTTACAAGCTAACATAATATTTAAATGTACGTTTGACACTGTCTTTGTTCACAGGGTTTCAAATTACTGAGGTTTATAACTTTTTCCTCTAGGAGGATGTTTTATTAGTCAATAATATGTTACAAAGATATTTCTAGAAGATATAAAAGCTGTTCAAATTCTCCTTTTACATTGCTGTGTGTGAATTTATTCTTGCATGTGAGGCATACTAAATTTACCCCACTAGACTCAATCTGGGTACTTACACAGTATGTATACTTGTTGCCCTTGAGAAAAACCTCAGGATATGGCAAACTATTGTATGCGTATACAGTTCAGATTTAGATCAATCAACTTGGAATTACTCTTTTTTTTTTTTTCCTATTAAAATAAATGCAGACAGTGGCCTTTTTGTGGTATTTTATTTTGTGCTGCTTTATTTAATCTATATTTTTGAGTAGCATAATTAGTATGAAGATTTTCTTTTCTTTCTTTATATGCAAGGGCTATACAAAGAGCCTTGCCTAGTTTTATAAATAGCCATTTGTACAACAAATGTACATTTTAGCCCCTCCAGCATGGAGAAATAATGGAATTTCTTGCTGAGCTGCTCGTTGTGATTTAGCACCTGCTTAAGAATGTATTTGGCCCTACTGACTTAAGCAGGCTTTGTCTCTTCATTGAACTAATTTAAATGCATTTAAGTGTTTTGTTTAGTTGAGGCCGTTTCCTGCAGTGTGTGTGACTGGGTAACTATCCACGGCAGTTCAACCTGTGGTTCCCAGACTTTGAGACAGGGACAGATTAGAGGGAAGACATCTGTGCATTTACCTGAAGCAGCCTTGGAGGTAAGCAAGCCTATTGCCACAATTGTCCAGACTTCCAGTAGGAGAACTGCCAAGGTTTCCAGGTGAAACCCTGAAAAACTGAAAGATGGAAACCGCTAAGCTATTTCACATGTAATCACACTTGTTATAAAGACTACATTATGCACAGCACCACTCCCATACTGGAAAAATACAGGGGTAAGATAGCTAGCAACTAGGTTATCATATGGAATGTGTCGCATGCATGTCACTAACTAGGCTACTAGAAAATGAAGTCATAAAACTGCAACGAGCATTGAAGCTTTTACTCTGTCATATGTGGCTTTCAAAATACACTTGAAAAAGCTATAATCCATTATTCTGTCAAGCAACTTGCACAAGAGTTTTTACCATATAAACAACATGCCAAGCAGTATCCATCTTAGAGAAATTTATAAATTGCCAAGATTTTTAAAAAATACATTTCAAGCTAGTCTTCACCAACATTAAAATGAAATCTGTTTATAGAGTACAATAAACATATGACAGAACTATCAGCTTTGTGTGTTGAGAGTTGTTGCTGGTAAATCAATATGGATGCTAGGGCACCAGGCACTTTAAAAATCAATATAATAAATAAATATAAGAGTTGAATTACAGTTTAACACTGTGTGTACAGAGATGTGATTCATCTTGACACAAATAATACATGTTGGATAATCAACAGAGATGACATTCTTTAAAGCCCTGAAGAAATGCTGTGATCAAAGGACTGGACTGAAACTTGAAAATTATTTCCAGGCCCACTGACTGACTGGTTTAATGGCAGGTTTAACCTTATGACTCAATTTTTCTATCTGTAAGATTAGGACAATATAAGAACAGTATTTTGAGACTCTCAAGTATGCAAACTATTATTAAAGTTAATTATGGCTAGAAGGGGTACATTTTCGACTCACAGTCACATTTATGTACTGAGTTCTTCTGAAGCAATTACTGAATTACTGGGTTTGGCAAGCAGCCAGGAGAACTGCATCTGGGAAGTTACAACTGGTTCTAAGCCTGATGTTTCTTCCTTTTTTTTTTTTTTTTTTAAAGAGCTAATAAGGCATTCAGCACTGACCTAAAAGCAAGATAAAAAATGTAGAAATAAATGAAATGGCAAAACCTGGTTTCTGATTAGCAGAAGATAGAAAAGAGAATGGCAGAATTGTGAGGATAAGCAGTTCAAACAGGCTGTAGGTAGTTGATACCCAGACTGGCTGGTAGAGCGCAGCCTGGGAGAGAACTAAAGCATCCGGGTTTTTCCAGTTCCACATTGTGTATGTCTATAAGGTCAGCCTTAGGATGACTTTAATTTAGTATGGTGTGTCTAAAAAAGATGCACGTTGTGTTCCCAAGCCTTTATTTCATGAAACATCAGGCCTTTTTAAGAACAAGTCTGTAGCCGACCTGAATGCTTTGTAGCCTGTGAAGATTGCACTGGAGTTCCTATTAATGAATTTCACAGTTTGTAGGGTACAGGTTTCAGGAGGATTAAAAAGAGTAAAAATATTTTTTCTAAAAGGAAAAAAAATACTGTTCCTGGGAGCTTTGAGTAACAGTCCCTGTCCTCAGAACATGTTTTCTGGGGTTTGATTCAAACACAGCAAGTATTTGCAGGAAACATAAGGTAAAGAGGGAACAGAACTAGTTGCTAGCTCTAACTTTTCTTCAACCATTGTAAAACAGGAATGAAGGAATGAAGAAACCCATGCACTTTGAGGACAAGCAAAAAGGATGTGCCTTTATACCATGACCTGAATAGATGAAGGTGCTGCTGCCTACACATCCCTAGTTCTTTTATCTATTTATATATTTATAAAAATATATCTATATTTAGTAGTTTAAAAGCCTAACTGATCTTTAAGTTCAGTTTCCTTAATTCCCAAACAATCTAAACACCATGATGGCTCCAACTTCCCCCCTTATGTTTAAAATAAATTCACAGCCAACTTCTGGAGATTTAGTCAGACTTTGGCAAATTAGCAAGGCTTCTCAGAGCAAACAACTGAAAGTAATATGGCTTCTGGCAGGAATAAGTATTTTCTTCTGTATTAGCATGACTGAATCTCTGTTTAGACCAGGTCATGCGGAAGATGGAGCATTCAACTTCTGACATTTTATTTTAACAAAAATGTCACTTTGCCCTTAATCTGCAAATAAGTCTTAGCTTATCATCTACCAAACTGCCCGAGTAGAAGCAGAGGGCATTGTATCACCTGACGAGATAGGGTGCTATCATGCTATGCTACTACCATGCTATTAGCTACTATGCTAATACTAACTTAAAAGACTGAATAATGTATAAATGATGAGATCTCTGAAGAAGTATTTTTTTAAATAATAATAATAATAAAAAAAAAAGGAAGATCACAGAATGCGATGGGAGGCATGTACTTATGGGAGTATTATGGGTGATATAAACATGTCCAAAAATTAGTATCAGTTCCTTTTAAAAAAATAAAAATAAAAATAACGTGCTTTATTTTGGTATACTCTGGGCTTTTGTTTTGGCTGAAAAAAAACGATCTCAAACCGCCCCATCAACGCTTGCAGGCAGCACGGTTTTCAAGATTAATTTTATTCCGCATTGCATATGGGCTGCCTGCTCTTCACGGAGATACTGAACACGGGGCAGGCGCACAGCACGGTGCGTCCTCAGCGCCCGGAGGGAATACCGATGGCACCGGCTGCAACCGCACCAAGTGGAGCAAGGCAAGTATACACCCCGCAGGAAGGAAGAATGATGATTAAGAAATTAATTAAAAAAAAAAAATAAAGGCGTTACTGAGGCAGGTACCGAAAAGAAAGGCAACGCGCTGACGGCGGCAGCCGGGCCGTGCCCGCCGGTGCCGTGACGGGGCCGGGTGGGCGGGGGGGGGGGGGGGGCGCCGCGGCGGGCAGGTGAGGGGCCGGGCGGCGGCAGGCTCCGCCCGCTGTCCCAGGCTGCTCCGCGCCGCAGCCGGGGGAGGTGGAGCCGCTTTATCGAGAGCCCCAGTGGAAATTTCCCCCCTCAGTTGCCGGCTCCAGCGCGGAGGAGACGCCAGCGAGAGCCGCCCGCCCGTGTCGCGCCCGCCGCCCCTTCGTCCCTGCCCGCCGCCATGTCCAACTACATCCACGTCCCGCCCGGCTCCCCCGAGGTGCCCAAGCTGGACATCACCGTCAGCGAGCGGGAGGGGCCCGGCTGCCGCCAGGGCGCCCTGCAGCTCCTGCGCCGCCTGCGGCCCCACTGGAGACCCGAGGAGGTGACGCTGCAGGTACGGGGGGCGCCGCGGGGCCTGCGGGCGGGATGCGGCGGGGAGGGGAAGGGATGAGGAGGGAAGGGCAGGGCGGGCGGGCGGCCATTGTGCGGGGGAGCCGCCGCCGCGCTTCCTTCCCCTCCCCCCCGCCTCCTCCCAGCGCAGCCCCCTGCGCCGAGCCCCATTTGCTCGGCAGGCTGCTGGCGGGGCGGGGCGGCGTGGCCGGGCAGCATCCCCTGCCCCCTGCCGGCCCCAGCGCTCCCTTTCCTCTTCCTCCTTCCGCGCCCTCCCCCCTGAAGCCCGGCTCCGGGCAGGGCAGGGGCGAGGAGGGGCTGTGCCGCCCCGGCGGCGAGAGGCCGAGGAGAAGGGCCCTCCCCCGTCACCCTGCTGGGCAGGGGCTCTCGCAAAGCCGGGGGACCCCCCCCCCCTTCCCCGGGGGGCGGCGGGGAAGGAAGCCGGGGGAGGGAGGGGGCGGCCGCTGAGGTAACGGCCGCCGAGGTAACGGGAGGTGCCGCGGTGAGGTAACGGCTGCCGCCGCCCGGGGCGGGCCCGCCGCGCCTTCCCCGGCGGTTGGCGGGGTGAAGGAGCCCTCGGCGCCGTGCGGATCCGCTGTGCGGGACCGGGCGCCGTGGCGCTTCTAGAACATACCGCACCGAGCCCCGCGCCGGGCGGGAGCTGCCGCTGGCAGAGCGGCGCATCGCGTGCAGCCTGCCTTCCTCTGGGCGGTTCCTGCCGTCCTCTTAACCTGTTTCTTTTCTTTTTTTTTTTTTTTTTTTTTTCCAGCAGTTAACAATGTGCGGAGGTGTATCGTTTTCGTAAAGCTTTTTTTTTTTTTTCTTTTCTCCTGAGGTGAACTAGCAGTTGGAAATAATTCCTGTAGAAAAACTGAGATCGTTGTGGTAATAACGCGTAAATGGGCTTCGATTTTATGAAGTTTTTGGATAATAGAAATTTGACTTGCACAACTCAGTTAGCATGAAAACAAAGCTAATGCTTTTTTTTTTTCCTGAAATCATTTCTTTGAGGACCGCAGTTGTAAGTGAGGCACAGTCCCAGTGTAGGTAGGATATTTTTCCTCGAGTATTAAACAGGGTTCCTGTTTGTGGGTTTGTTTTAGTTTGATGATAGGTTACTTCTCAACATCACTTTTTATTCATGCAGGCATTCTAATAAACTGAAATATTTTCATTTTAAAGTGGGATGTTCCTGACCTTTTGGGAAAGTTCTAGCATGTTTAAAATGAAACGCCACAAGAACACACAAAAAAAACAAACCCACTTCCTTCCTTCACCACTCAGTTTGGAAGAAAAAGCAATTAGAATAAAAAGCACCACTGCCATTGGTGTGGAACTGGGACTTATTTGACTAGCCATGCAATATGAAGGTAATAGGCTACTGTCTGGTTAGGTGCTTGTGTATAAAAAACTGTCTCAATCTTGTTTGAACCAAATTACTTTAAAATCAAACAATTTTCTACTCTTTTTTTTATATTTTCTTTGTTTGCAACAGCAAAAAATCCTATTTGTGAAGCTCTTTAGGAGCCCTTTATTTTTACTCTTTAATCTGTTTTTAAATGTTATGTCTATACATAACAACAAAGAATTCATGTGGTTACACATGCATCGCATACGGTAGGATGCTGAAATTGATGATGACTGCTTTTGTTCAGAGGATGGAGCAAACAAGGTCTGCCCTGGATTCTTCTCATTGGATAGGCATACATGTATATTTAGGAGGGAGGAAAAAATGAGAATCATGTATCACGTGGAAAATATGCTTGTCTAATGTGAAACAGCAGCATGATAGCAAAGTAGACAAAGAACATTGGTAGGTGGAAGGAACTGCTTCCTCTGTTGAACTCTGCTGCTATCTGCCTTTGCTCGCAAGTAATTCTTGGCTCAAAACAATGAGTAAGAAGTTGGAAGAGTCCAGGGCTTGACTTATAAAAGTTAATCAACTTCTCTTGCAAAAAAATGTTCTGTGTGCCAAACTGATTAGTCAATGAAACAGTTCTGGAGTGTATTTAGAACATCTTAATATTTAATCCTTACTTCTTGTAAGATCTGTAAGTTTAAGGTATACTCATGACTTTTGATTTTTTTTTTTTGTATCAGTATAGGAAACAAATGTAGGACAGGATGAAAATAATTAGTCATTGTTTAAAGTATCCTTTTAATGCAGAATTTGTAGAAATTCTAGAATCTGTAAGCATTGCCAACCATTTGCTGAATCACAGGCAGTTCATTTTAATGCATCTCCTGTCTCCAGTTATATGTGAATGTTACCAGTGTACAAGAACATAAATATGTTGTTTTGTAGTGATAAGGAGAAGCAAAATTTTCCTGTCTAAATATGAACTTCACATACTTCAGTTGTGCAGTTGTCATCTAAGGATGCACTGGAAGCTGTGTAGAACTGGGTATTGTATTTTCTAAATCTTAAATTCTCGAGGTTTGCGTTCTCTGCTTTACGCTTTCAGAAAGCTATGTCATTATCACAAAAAGCACGTATTTGTTTTAGTAGCTTCTGATTCTGTAACATGATCAAAGTAATAAAATAGAGTAGTTCAGGTTGGACAGAATCTCTATGGAGGCTTCAACCTCCTGGTGAAAGCTTACAGCTTTCTTAATCCAGAAGTTTGTTGAAGCGAATATAGGGAACAGTGCCTGAGGATTTCATGAGGTAAAATGCCCTTCAAAATTCAAACCCTGTTTTGGATTAGTGAACAGCTTAAATTGTGACAGTGGACATTACTAATGAGTTGGCCTGAATATAAAAATTGTAATGAAAAAGAAAACTTTATCTATATTTAACTCTTTCATGCCATAAAAAGGTTTTATCACCTTCCTAATGTAAAAATATCTTAAGTTTTCTCATCTTAATTTTTTTCCCTTCTTTTATGGGGTGAAACTTTGTTTTTGAAGGAGGATCAGTGTTTGGTTATGGTACAGGAAGGCCAGTGACCACTCCAAGTGTAGACTTGGGATTCTTTCATTCCATGACCTACTGAACATCTATAGGTCTGTTCCTAACAAAGGATTCAGTAGGTTAATATATAATCGCCTCTCTACAGCATAATGTTAAGCAGCAGGGAATACAATCTGTATTTGTTTTCATTCTGAAGTGTTCTTTAATGTTAAAAATAAAGGTTGCTTGCTCTTACTGGTGAAGAGACTTAATGAGTGTTAATTTACACATTTATTATTTGCATAGTGTGATATGTATCCAAAAGTCAGCTGCAGGATCACTTGGGAATCTGGGATAAAATTGCATGCTACCACTGTTCTTGTCCTTGCACAAACCTAAAGGGGAAGAAAAGAATTTTTTTTTAAGGAGATTCAATTATTGAATGAAATTTACTTTTTTAGAATCTGCAAGCTTCTCTGTAGAACTTTGTTCCATATCATTTCCAAAAAGGTTTCACAAATGTTTCTTGTTCACACTCACATTATGGAATATTGTGGTATAGTGCTGTCTTTGTTCAGGATGTACACGTCTTAGCGTTTATCAGTGCTTTGCATGACTTTACTACTGTGGCTTACTATTCTTTGTAAGGACTTAGTTGTGCTTAGAAAGACTTGTACTTCAGCCAACAAAATACTTAACTTAAACCTTACTTCCTTATATATCCGGTTAGCTTTTTCTCTCTCCCTTCCCCCCATCTATCTGCTTTTTTTCCTTCCTGACTTGCGCTCAATAGCTTTTCTTTAATTAATATTTTCTGGCTTCTGCTCAGAGTTCTGTTCTTGTCTGCATGTTTGTATTTATTACAAAAAGCCTGGCTTCAGGTTTCTGAACTACTTAAGATACTCTGTTTATTTAAACAGAGACTGTATATGGAATTTAAAGCAATGAGATAATTGAATGGGAACAAAACATAAATCTCATGGGGAACAAATCAAACTAATATTTTCTGAATCTGAATGCTATTACATTTTTTTTCAAGAGTGGTATTTTTTAACACCTAGCTGTTCTAGGATATGATCTTCAACAGTTGTGGAAGTAGTTACTTAGAGGAAGATTGAGTGAAGGAAAATAATATGAAATTGTTTCAGAATGGGCTACACTGATGGTGGTGTATTGTGGAAAAACTGTAATTTGAGGTGTACCTTGAACACAGTGTTGCAGCAATTGAGAACTTTAGGTAGTAGATGTCACTTGATGCTGATTGATTTCTCTGTTCTCATGTGTTTGATGCTAGATAATCTCTTGTTGTAAAGGAATTTTTATGGTATCAGTGGGTGGAGCAGCAATCATGTTCACGGGGTGAATTGATGTGCCACATCACAGTATGATGTAATCCAGCTGTGCATGGTATAGGTGTGTTTGTACTGATGAGTCTCATTCTAGGTAATTAAATAAAATAAAATAAAAGTCAATTTTTGCTAAGACACAGCCTGTTAGTTACCTGGCTATGTATGGACATAAGTTCCAGGAAAGGCTTGTGATGTCAGAAAAGACAGCTTCCTAAAGATGTTCCTCTTTAGTCTGTGGCTTTTTCACTTTTAGATGCTGATTCATGTCAGAAGTCTCCAGAGTAGGAACAGCAAATCCATTGTTGGAATTAAAATCTTGACTCCTTTTATACATTACATTAGTCTATTTTTACATGTATGTCTGTAACTTTTAATCAGTATTGTGTAGT